GTGTGGTAGCCAAGGCTCACATATTCATAGGCCACTAGCGTTAAGCCAGTCAGCGTGGTAGCCCAGGCACACATAGCCATAGGCCACAATTGCTAAGCCGGTCAGTGTGGTAGCCCAGGCACACATAGCCATCCACGCAATTCTAAAAACTTCCAAGTTAGTTTTTCTCCATTTGCGCTCAAGACTACGAGTTTTTTTCTTGAGATTATCTAATAATAATGTATTAGAGAAGATCGTGCCCATGTTGCTAGTCAGTTCGCCTAGTTCATGTGTACTTATGGGTACACAGAGCAGTTGAGATAAATCAGGTAGGTTATTTGTGAATCTGTCTTTGGTGGCTGGAACAATAGTTCTGCCCGGACTTCTGAGTAACATTGAGAATATCACTATATATTGTTGCAACACCGCTGCCACGACCAGTCTGACGGGGCTCATGTTTATAACAGTAGCTTATTGGAGTAGACTCATTTAGACCAATATAATCATTAGGTTTTTGCCAGGATTCAGTCAAGCAGAGTACATCAAAATGATTATCTGTGATCATTTCATTTTCAATAACTGCTTTGGGTGAGATTGATCTAATGTTTAGGAGCCAGTTTCTGTTCTTTACAGAAAGTCTATTGAACCTTTCGTGTCTTCGTCGATACGTGGGAAGCGGTCCTGACACGATGATCGTTGTCGCGGGTGATGTGCGGCGCACCGTCGCATAAAGTATGCGATATTTATTGTACTTAAGTACGAAAAGTATTTTTTTTTTTAAATCTTAAACGTACTTAAGTATTGAAAATAAATGCAAACTGGAAAAGAAGCATATATATATACATATATATATATATATATATATATATGTATGTATGGTCAATTTTGATTTCATGCCGACTTTAGGGGACATGGATGCATTTAACCTGCAGTTACAGATGCATAAATAATGTTTTGTTTTTAACATAAAACGTTGAATACTGATATTTGAAATAATTTAAAACATGAAAAACTAGTCGAAATGTGAAATTAAAACCGCCAGTAGGTGGCAGCAAGTGACTGTTAATGAGTGAGTCATTTAGATTCAACCGATTCATTCAAACGACGAACGATTTATTCAGGAACAAAGCAGTTGACTGTGTTAATGAGTGAATCACTGAATCATTTTTATCAACCGATTCGTTCAAAAAGCTGATTCATTCAATAAGTAAACACCATCCTTTGCTCAGAGACGCAAAACAGTGCTGTGATCTTTGTTTGTAACTATATTCGTTAGCAAAATTGAGCAAAAACAAGCAATTCAGAGATGCAAAACAGTGCTGTGATCTTTGTTTGGAACTATTTTTGTTGGCAAAATTGAGCAAAAACATGCAATATTATATCTCAAATGTAAGTCACTTATTTCTTTACTGAACTTGTATAAAATTATTATTAAATGTGCTATCATGCTGATATCTGCAGAAAAACGGTACTCTTTGCTCGATACAGATTAAGTTAACTATAGCCTATTAAATTATATAAATATAAAAAGCATACAGAAGCATTTTTGCCGTCTACAATTTAGAATGCCTGGAATTTTGAGTATTAATTGACTAATAAATCAACGTGGTTGCACTCTGTGTGTGATTTGGTGATATAGCCTACTTGATAATGTCAGATCGCACATCATTACAACAACACTTACCATATTATCACAGACGATGCTGTATAGGCTATCGCACACCCCAGACTCAACTTGAGTGGAAAATGAATCATCATAGCACACAGGTATTTGTGCGCACACTTGTTTGCGCATGAGCAAAGGTGTTTTTTTAGGAGTCTAACTTGCAAGCGCCAGACCACTGATTCGTCAAACCTGCAGTCCATGTTTTTCTGACTTCTGACTATTTTGTAGTAAGTAACGAATATGCTTCGGGGAAATGTATCGGAGTAAAAGTATACATTTTAATTAGGAAATGTAGTGGAGTAAAAGTAAAAGTTGACTGAAATATAAAAACTCGCAAACGCCAGACCACTGATTCGTCAAACCTGCTTTCCTGCAGTCTGTGTTCTTCTGACTTCTGACTCTTTTGTAGTAAGTAACAAATATGCTTCGGGGAAATGTATCGGAGTAAAAGTATACATTTTATTTAGGAAATGTAGTGGAGTAAAAGTTGGCTGAAATATAAAAACTCAAGTAAAGTACAGATACTCCCAAAAAATACTTACGTACTGTAACGGAGTATTATTACTTTGTTACATTACACCACTACTAACCATTAGAGAATCGGACGTGTAATTATAGGTTTGGTAATGTTGCAAGAGCACAATAATGCAAAATTTTTTTTTTTTTTTTGTTTTTTTTTTGGAAACTTAAGAAAAT